TGCACCTCTAAGTGGCTAAGAATTACTGCCGCAAACAAGCTACCACTGCCATACTTGGGCTATGTTGAATTGGACATCCAGGTGATGGGGCTAACTATACCTGAGTGTGGGTTTTTGATCGTCCGAGATGGAGACACTGCTGAGCCAGATCCAACGCCCCCTGGTATCATAGGCATGAATATCACCCAGAGATGCAGAGAGTTTGCACTGACTGAGTTTGACACGACTTTAGGAGGGAAGCTGGACTCTGTGTGGAGGGAAGCCTTCAATCGTGTACAGGAAGTTGAGCTGGTAAAAACAATGTCGTCAGCCAGAGTTAGTGGTAAGGGCAAAACCCATATACCAGCGTCCTCTCTAGCCACAGTCTATGCCAGAGTAAACAAGAAGGCCACTGACACCAGTGAGTGGCTGCTGCTGGAACCCGGGAGTGCACCATTACCAGGCGGATTGATTCCCATGCCCACCTTAGTGTCGCCCCAAAGTCGAGTGTTTCCAGTTCAAGTGGTCAACTTCTCCCAGGAAGATGTTTGGCTGCCTCCTAAAGTTCGGCTTGGGATACTTACCCACTGTCAGTGTGCTGAAAGTGACGCTTGTGAGGTGAGATTCCAGCGCATCTCTGCTGACCATGAGGAGGTGAGAATCGACCAGAGAGACAAACCAATGTCTGATTCTGATCTAAGTAATCTGTTAAGTAGGCTGCATATAGGAGGTACTCCGGAACAGCAAGCAGAGCTTGGTGTACTATTAATGAAGCATGCCGATGTGTTCGCAGTTCGTGATGAAGACCTGGGATACACAGATCGTGTAAAGCATGAGATCCACTTGACAGATGATACTCCCATTTCTCAGCCATATCGCAGGATACCACCGACTCAGTTTGAGGAGGTCAAAGAGCATATCTCGGGTTTACTTCGGAAGGGGGTCATACAGGAAAGCTCAAGTTCCTTTGCATCACCCATTGTTCTGGTGCGCAAGGCTGATGGAAGTCTGAGGCTGTGTGTGGATTATAGGAGACTAAACTCCAAGACTAAACGTGATGCTTTTCCATTGCCGCGCATTGATGAGAGCTTGGATGTGTTGGGTGGAGCGCAAGTATTCTTGACAGTGGATCTTGCTAGCGGTTACCATCAAGTTGCGGTCCATGAGAAGGACAGACCTAAAACAGCCTTCACTACACCGTTTGGCCTTTATGAATACCGGCGGATGCCCTTCGGGCTATGCAATGCACCCGCATCGTTCCAGCGGCTCATGCAGGCCATCATGAGTGACTTAGTTTTCCAAATTGTACTCATCTACTTAGATGACTTGTTGGTGTACTCGTCCACCTTTCATGAACATCTGGTGCGCCTTGAAACGGTGTTTAAGAGGTTGAAAGAAACTGGGCTGAAGGTGAAAATAGAAAAGTGTCATTTCTTGCAGACAGAAGTGAGATTCCTTGGCCATCAAGTTTCAGCTCAAGGTGTGAGTACGGACCCTGAGAAGATAAGTGCAGTTCGGGAATGGCCAGTCCCTAGCACTCTCAAGGAACTCAGATCATTCTTGGGGTTCTGTAGTTATTACAGAAGATTCATCGAAGGGTTCTCCCAGATAGCCGGGCCGTTGCATGATGTAGTGAATGTGTGCCTCAGAGAGACAAGTGCCGTCAAGGCAGCTCAGGTGTTTAAGAGCTCTTGGTCTTCCCAGTGTCAGACGGCATTTGAACGTCTCAAAGACAAACTTACCA